ACAGTTACAAGGCACACCTCGAGTACAAGGTACGTACCGTGTATTCGAGGGCACCTTCTATTCGAAAATTTAACAGCGATTTCTTAGAACCCGTTTTTACTTCCCACATGAGAGGCAGCGGGTTCCAGCCGTGATCACCCCTACGTGGGTGCAATCTCATCTTCTATGTATCGTTCGAGTTCCAACGAATGTTCCGAAGGACTGCAGCTTTCATCATGTGACTTGTTGGCCCAGGGTAATTCATAACTATTTCATATTGTTCATCCTATTAATCTGAATACGAACTTGGGCATGTCTTTTGACAGCTTGAGGGTGAACCAACTGAGGTTACTGAGCTAGATCACCTGGTAGCCAACGCCAGTTCCCCCTCAACTGAACCACTGCAATTCGAGCCCAGGACCGTACTTCACCAGCTCATGCATACCAACTGAGCCAGACTCATTGGTACTTAGCCTGAACTTTCACTCGTCTGATCCCAACTCAGGTCTGTATTCAAACAGTTGGCGGGTGTACCAGCTGGATCCAACCGCACGAACGTTAAGGGGCCACCAAATCAGAGGGTGCGGGTTCCATCCGGCCCCTTTTCACTCACAGGCACAGCTAACTATGCCAAATCTCCCCATGGTGCAATATAGCTGGTAGCGAGGCTCAATTCCTGCCACCGTCCAAGTTCTTGGCAGGGCTACAGACCCTATTCGTATGCGTCCTTGGTGGAGCTCTACATACAGGCGGGGCATGAATCTTAAAACAAATTAGAGAAAGGAGAAGCTCGCTGGCCAAGCCTTCATTTCGGGCGGTTCTCCTACCATCGTCGTGGTACTGGATCTGCAAAAGGGCTTTCAAAGCATGGCCCCTATGCCTGGGTGCCACACATCTACCACATTCGGCCTGGCCAGGCATCACTTCAACATCTAGCATAAACGAACGACGACATCATAATAGCAGGAACCATCTGCAATGTCTGCATTTATCTGAGAATTCTTCATACATAGTATAGATCAGCCAAGACAATACAGGGGGGCTGCGGACACCTGGGAGTAGTCTCAGGAAGATCAGTTGTCAACTTCTAGGTGGGGGCTGGGTCAGTTGTTAATGTAGGAGCCCCGCAATGGGAACGGGACAATTTGCAGCTCCAAGTGATACTGGGTGCTCCAGAGTAGAATAGAACAATGACTGTAGCATCAACGTTGTCCTGCATTGAAGTATTAAAGGGACGCTGGACCCGGTTTCCACAGGTGTCGCTCCTCACCAATAGATGGAGCAGCCCAACAGCCAAGGCCTCAATTCTGGTGGTTCTCTTACCACTGCTGGGATAGTGGCCTTACAAAAGGGCTTTTGCAGAAGAAGAAAAAAAAAAAAGAAAAAAAAAAAGAGAGAAAGGTCCTGCACACGGGAAAAAGTGTTGACCTTAGACTTTGTTGTTACTTGATAGGGGCGAGGGAAGTAGATGGGGACCGCAACTACTGGCAAATGCTCGGACTTTGCATTAGCTGGCCCACTTTAACATCCGATCACATGATGGGGGGGGAGAGGGAGGAAATTTGACCAATTACTTCACCATCTTGACCTTACGGTCCGATGGTTTTATTTATTTGTACGCCTTGGTCTCATGATCACCTCGATCATGCCATTGGGGCCTATAATGATTTCACCCTCATATCCCGACACTTGTCACGATGTCGTACTGATCCGCGTTTTTGCTCGCCTGTAATGATTTCACTCCAACGTCTTGGCACTCATCGGGATGTTGTACTAATCTGCGGCTTTACACGCATATTGTGGCGCGTACCCTAATCTCAAAACTTCACACCTCAACCTTTGTGGTTGGGGGGCGTTTAATAATTTCAACCGTTCATCCCCTTTATCTTCACCGTGTTGCGCATGCGGCGTGCACACCTGTCAAACCCGGACACCCGTTCGCCTTTGCCACAATAATTGGGGCGTCAATTGCACACAAACCGGCATGTCAATGTCTTTGTGTTGATGTGGACTACTCACCTTACAATGGTTTTTTTCAGGTGCGCGGCTGCATTCTATTTTATCTGAGCAAATTTAGGCAAACACCCTTATAAGGGTATTTGCTCCGACAACATGCTCTTTGTCGACTTCTTGTGTACACAGCTGGACCATTTTGGTATGAATGGCACTGTTTGTGACTGTGTGGCGCTTGCTTTGCATCGCTTTGGGACCGCTAAGGCTACTAGGAGCAGTGAATCATTGGTGTCATTATTATTTAACGTTGTTGTCATTATATGAAAGTTGCCATATAGATTGTTTAACTTTTTCGGGACCATTTGGACCACTATTCTCCTAGGACTGACTACGACTACTGTGAAACCACGTCTGGGACCGGTGGTATTGTCTTATGGGAATTGTT